ATTTTCAGATAAATTTAATCTTATGTATTGAATTATAATTTATTTGCAATGTTCAACTCTTTTGATTTTCTCTCTGTGCCTGTATGTAATATATAACTTATTTTATAAAATATGTTTCGCAAATGATAGTTTTTTTAAAATGTATGTGCTCTTTGATTTATATCCACACTACAAATACATATGTAAAAGGAAAAACGAAGGAACGCTTAAATTTTAAAGTTTTGGTGAATATTATTTTTATATGGCGCTGGGCATCTATGATTTGATATGATTTGTCTGTGTTTGGACCATGCAGAAGTCGGAACTCGTTGTGGACTGCACTATTCATGTGTTATAACTGATATCGTTTGTTAAATGAAGTATCAGTTGCGTGTACCACTAAACTTCATTATTCAATTTCGGACTTACCTGAGTTCAGTAAAACAATGTTAGAGAAATTTTATAGCTGTCTGTTTATATAATAAAGATTTGTATTAATGATGTAATATTACCTTCTAAATTATTTTCTCTTATAGTAGAGTATATGAAATTTTAGTCAATGAATACCAGCTCAATTGTAACCGCTTCAAACTTTGATCAACTAAAATCCAATAAGTGTATATTTTTGTAGGCTGAATAGAATCTTCATTCCTTGATTCATTTCTCTTAAGATGTACTGTATCGTTAAAGTTGAAAAATAAGATTGCCTGTTGGTAGGATATCTAATAAGTAAAGACGAAATGAATTACTCCAGAGTTAAATGTTGGTCCATTTACACCAGTACCACCGTACTCACTTTCAAGCCCTGATCCATACAACAACTTAACGCAAATTGTACATCTGCAGACTATAAAGAGTCATGCTCTGTAATTTATTATTTTTAAGATGTACTGTATTATTAATGTTGGAAAACAATAGATAATCTGCTACAACAATATCTGTTAAATAAATAATGGAATTTATAAAAATTTTCTATTGCTAGAGTAGAATTTTTGTTAATTTACACCAGGACCATCGTATTAGCTTTCAAATTAAAAAAATAAATACTTTATTATTAAACTCGCATAATAATTTATCAGCTAGCGAAGTATCGGTTAAGTAAAAGACGGATTTCCCACTGACATTTTTCAAAACTGTATTATTAGTATTGCCTGCTGGTAGGATAGAGTAGAAGATATATGTTAATGGTGATATGTTAATGGTGATGTCATAGTATCTTATGTGAGTTCTTCAAAAATCAAACGAAGTATGCCAGGTTTTGAATTAATATACATATATCCAAAAGCATTGGTATGAGCCTTATACTAAAATCTTAATATAAGGTTAATACAGTACAAAAGTTTAGATTTTCTCCAGAACACTTTATGAAATTGATTGAAATGATTAAAACCTGCGGATACTACCGATATCTCCATCTGATAGCCAATAACAGATATGTTTATTTTCGTAGCCCGTCTTTATTATGTTAATTCATTTATTAGAGTTATCGTATTAATAGTTTTAAATATATTGAATAAAAACAAT